CTTTGTTCAAGTCCAGGGAAACAGTGTCAAATTTGCATATGAAGATCAAACAACAGATCCAAATAGTCATCATCTTCTATGCAAGTGCAAACAACATATCCAAACAGACATCATCTTCCTGTTTAAGTGCAGTGTGAGGAATCAACCTTCATATGAAAATTTGACAGTTTCCCTGGACTTGAACAAAGACATTAACTGGATGTTGCATTATAAACCCAGCCTTCCCTGCATTTAACACCTCATTACATCAAAAGCTAAATATGGGGCACTTTCAGCTCACTCTATTAGCCTCATTAGTACTTATACTACAATTGACAGGTTACAATTTTTTTCTTCCCTTCTTTTTCTGTTATAAATTCTGGATTCCTATTTTCACTCCAGCTTCCAGCTCATCTGAAGAAGTGGGTTTTGCCCACGAAAGCTCATGATACTATATATATTTTTGTTAATCTCTAAGGTGCCATAAGACTATTCATTGTTTTTAAAGCTACAGACTAACATGGCTACCCCTCCCCCCCTTTGAGGCTTTTAAACACCAGTGTCATTATTTAAGGTGATATGTTACTTTATATAATTACTGCAGAATATTTACTTATTTTTAAGCAAAAAGGGTTAGTTACAATAGCTCTTCACTACTAACCTGAATCCAGTTATCTACCATACATATGAAAGGTTTGAGATCCCTTGATCAATTTATTGAGCTAATCTGTCCCAGATTCTTAATGCTATATTAAGAAGGGAGTGAAAATTAGTATTAAACATTTATACAGTACCACTAATATATATGATGCTTCTTAAACAATTCCCACTAACATTCTGATTGTAAGCTCCCATATACATGAATCGAGAAACACCATGGATCAGAACCCCCATGCAACTACATCGTGATTATTGAACCTTTATATTGTGATTATGCCTAGAGAGCTCAGCCAGTCTGGAGCTCTGCTGTGCTAGGCACTGTACACATTTAGTAAATAACACACCTTATCCCAGGGTTCTAATTCCAGGAAACCTCACAGGGAGGAAAAATTCAGCCTACTCTCATATGCCTTCCATTTATAACTCACAGATGTGGACCAGGACTTAAACTGTGATAACTACTGTGTGCTGCTTGTTACATTTTAGTTTGAGAAGAAAATGAATCACTGAAACATAGGCCATTCTTGGACAGATGGCTAGTGGATAGACTATGTTAAAGAAAGCCAAAACTCTCTTGATTTATATTAACTCCAGTGCGGGTGCTGATTTGACATGCACTGTAGGGGCTTCTCTCTCACTTATAATCAGAACACACTGGCTGGCACTCACCACAGAACATCTGGACTTCATTAGACAACCTTCAGCTCTGTTTCCTTGCATCAGCCCTGGCCCCCTCAGTTGAAGCAGCCTCTCAACAACTGTTTCACCATGAACCAGTCAAGGAGACAGACTACTTTGGAAGCAAGTAAATCGGGACTACATTAGTTGATGACCTCTGCCCTCCAATTCGCCTCCCTTCTTTCTGATGATAGAAGAAATCCCTTCATGAAAGTTGACAACCAATCCTAAGCAGACAGATCCATTTAGTGGAAAGCTTGGTCAATGCTGACTGCTTCATTAGGAAAATGTCTATATTGAGGCACATTCCTGCAATTCAGGGATGAGAAGTTTTAAATTAAAAAAAAAAAGCCATATCTTCTTTCTGAAATGCCTCTCCCTAGTTTAATGCACAGAAATTATAGAACCAAATGTCTTTGGCAAGAGCCCTTCCTTCTCTTTCACAGTAATACACTTGCAATTTGAGTGGATAGGAACAGGATATAATGAGGGGGAGGCAGAGAGAAAAGCTAAAGGAAGGAATTGCTACAAAACCTCTTGGAAACTATGTGCCTTTCTCTCTTGATGAATCTCTGTCTCTTCGCTGAAGTGTGTTAAATAAAGAAAATCCTCTTTAGTCTGAATGGGTAAAAAGTTTGGGGAATTGCTTGTTGGGAAGTTAATCTGGGTTTCCTAATTTCTGATTTGAGGAGATATAAACAATCTATATTTGCTGTTCTCTTAAGCAAACTCGATCTTCCTTTCCCCTTTATGACTGGAGAGATGTTACTGGGCCACTTCATCTTGAATGGTCCTTTGAAATGTGTGTTAACTTCTTACACTAAACAATCTGTTCAAGCACTTATTTAGCTGCGACAATCTGAGTATGTTCCCCAGACCTGAAGAAGAGCTAGGTGAAGCTCGAAAGCATGTCTCTCTCACAAAGTTGGTATAACAAGAGATATTACCTCACTTACCTTTTCTCTCTAACACAGAAGTGCAGACCCAATGATCCATGGCTTGCCTTGATCCAGCTCACAAGGCTCAGGGCTCCTCTCCCACAGCTGGGCGAGCCTGCATTGGTGTTCCAGCCACGCAAGAGGGCACCAACATTTGGTGCCTCCCACAGGTGGCTGGAGCACCAGTGACATGCTCACCACTTCTCAAACCTCTCAGGCCAGATCAAAGCAAGCCATGGTCAGCATCCAGACTGCGGGCTCTGCCTGGCAGAGGGGAGGAAACAGCTGTGCCAGGATCAGCAACTGCAAAGGCTTGCAGGTTTCACCAGAGTTGCTCCCATTGGATGTGAATTCTGGCCAATCGGAGCAGACAGGGGCAGTGATTGCCTGCGCATGGAAGTGCAGAGCCACCTGTGCCCCTTCCTATAAGCAGGTGCCCCCATCCTCTACTCCCTCTGGCCCAGACTCCCATCTCCCACTCCCAGCCTGCTCCTGCATTCCCCTCTCACCCAGACTCCCCAATCCCAATCCACTCTTGCACTCTTCTGCTCAGACCCCACACCTGCATCCTACTTCCTGCCAGACCCCTCACTCCCACTTTGCTCCCCCACCCCGTCTGTTCCTGAATCCTTCCTCCTGTCTACAGCTTGCACTTCCAGCCCACTCCTGAACCCTCCCTCCCACCCCGACCTTGCATCTTCCAGCCCATTCCTGCATCCTACCTCCTGTCCAAACCCTGCAATCCCTCCCCACTCCTGCACTCTATCACCTGCTCAGACTCTGAAGCCCCACCCTGCTCCCCAGCACCCCCTTCCCACACACTGAACCCCCAATTTTTGGCCCCACCCCAGAGCCTAGTGGGGCCCCACAAAATCTACTAGCCTTCAATCCCCAGAAGAGTTAATCCTGCTCTGTGGGGAAGCCTTTAGGCTTTATGTTCCCCACGGTGCTGAAGTGCACGGGGAATCTTGGCTCCCCAAGTTGCATGAGCAAGGCTAGTATCAGTCATTCTCTCTCTCTTTCTGCTTATTAGTTGGGGACCACACCCATGAGGGTTTTTTTGTGTGCGTTTCTCACTTGCATGTGGTCCTGGCTGATTTTTCTGTGGGTCAGTGACCCTCTAACCCAAAAAAGTCCCCCAACACTGTTCCTTGTAAGCTGTGTGTTTGTGTGGCCACTCATGAGAGAGTCCAATGCTGCTCAGCTGTTTAGAAGAGCACCCACAGCTAGGTTTGTGTTTTTCCTGGTGGTGCACATAGGTACATACCTCAGTGCACATAACATTTATTCTGCTCATGAATGGAAAAATTGCACACCTGGATGGAAAAGATTGCTGTTCCTTACCCCTGCTCTAGTCTCTTGGGACCATTATTAATAGCTACTAAATTATACAAACAAGTAATATTTTCCATCAAAGACAACATAAAGGCATTATTTGTGTTCTGCCATAGGCACCACTATACTATAGGGAACAAAACATTACTTCCTCCCCTCAAAAGATTTCTACCCATAGTCCCTCCTTGCTTTGTAACTGGATTCACAAGTTAGGATGGTGTTGTCATATAATACTCCTCTCCATTATTATTCAGTATTACACTCTGGAATTTTACATGCTAAGAAGCACTTTTCACCATGATCAAGTTGGGTACATGCATTTTATAGTTGAGTGTCTTGCTAGTGGAATGCCATCTTGCTAGAAACGGACAGCGTCATAAATACTGTAAGTAAGGTTTAATGTTATGAAATTGTAAAATCGGTTTCTAAACTGTTTTAATGTTGGTTTAACAGCCAAAAAATGTTACTATGTGAACAGTAAACATATTATTTCAGTATTAAATGTTAAGTAAAAAAACACTATCACTAGAATAGTGATGCCTTCTAAGGTGGAAGTGGAGAAATCTCTGATCAGAAAGCATCCCTGGTTCTGTCTTGCTGCATCTGACTTAAATTCATAACTCTTCTAGACTCTAGAAGTCATGGCCTGAATAGCAGCACTAGATTTATGGCTTACAACCATCTGTAACGCACTAAAAGCCACATTGCCCACCTGAAGCTTTCTTTTTTCCACCTGCCTTTCCTTTCCCTTCTATGACTGGACGGGTGTTTATAGGCCACTTCATCTTGAATGGTCTCTGGAAATGTCTGTTAACTACTTATGCAAAACACTCTCCAATGCCCCACATAATTAAGGTGGCAGAAGCACTGCTGGTAAGGACGTGCCCTGCTGACAGAATGAGCATATGACATGAAACACCATTTTAATTACGGAGGTGGCTGTGTGTTGACTTAAGTCAACTTCATTTTGTAATGGCATATCATCCACGGTTACTTGTGCCTTTAGCAGAAACTAAGGGTATGTCTACACTGCATCCCTAGTTCGAACTAGGGATGCAGTGAAGACATACCCTAAGAGTCAAGACCCCCTTCATAAATGGCTTCTTGGACATTTATGTTAGAATGAATATCAGTGTAGTAGTAATAAGAAGTCTCTCTTATACTCTCCCCATAATGCTTCCTTCAGGCTGTCAGCTCTGTGTTCAAGCGTATGTAGCTTGAATTCTAATTTCCCATATGACTGAATGATGTGCAATCACTAGACATGTATTTATTTTGGATACTCCCTTAGGAATGGTATGTCCCAGTACACTATATATTTTTAGTTTATAAAGTTATGTCCCCATGATAATAATCCCATACTCCCATAGTACTAGCCCATATGCCTGATTGTTTGCCTTCCCTTCCCACCTGTTGCTTGAGCTGTTGCACCAGGCGGTCCTTTTCTCGCTTCAGAGCAGCCACTTCATCTTGGGTCTTCTTCTTAGAAGATGAAAGCTCAAGCAGAGCAATGTTGGCATCTTTTTCACTGATGGCAGCAAGAAGGGCTTCTTGTCTGGGAAAAAAATGACATGACATTAGTCTTCTTAAAATGTGAGGGGTATCTGTGACAACCTGTACTCCATGTTCACCCTTTTACAAAATTATGATATATATCAAATATAATATATAAATTTTACAAAGTATGCCTTTTGAGGTCTGATTTGAAAAAATCATAATCTGCTGAATATTACTGTCCTGCTTAAACATGTCTGGCAACACCATATAGTTATAAGACTCTACTGTATAACATTGTTATAATATGCTCCAAGGTTAAGAAAAGCAGGACCAAACCAATTTTTCAGAAATAAAGACACTACAACGTTAACGCTGATAAAGGGCTATTATCTACTTATGCAGATATTCTCCAGCAGGGAGGTAAGGATAAACAAGATATTTACTTTCCATCACAGGGACAGTTCACACCCCATGTCTACAAGAGACTGTTTTGTCACCATAAATCAATGAGGATATTTTTAGCCAAAGAAACTGAATTATAAAGAGAAGATGGAAATGCTGGATTTCACTATGCTCCATCTCTGCTCATGACACTGACAACTCTCAAATAACAACTTCGGGGTCACATGGGGGAATCCTAACTGGCAGGCTTTTCCCAGTACAGACTGCCTTAAGCTTATGTGAGAAAAACCTTTTGGTTTTAATTTAATTTAGCTTTTCAAGTTAGGCATTTAGTTTTCATATCATCTTTTTATTTTCTTTGTAATCAAATCTGACTTTTATGCCTAGTCTCATTACTTGTAGTCACTTAAAATCTTTCTGTAGTTAATAAACTTGTTTCATGGTTTGATCTAAACCAGTGTATGTTTGCATTAAAGTTTGTGGGCAAATTATATGAACTCATTTTAACTATGCAGAATATTCCCAGAAGCAAAAGCAGATAATGGGGAGATACAGGCCCTTTCTGTTTTAGAGAGATGATGAAAAGGCATCAGGCAGAAGGCATAGGGGGTTAACTGGGAGCTGAGAAAAGAGCAACCCCCCTTTCCGGCTGCCTTTGCTGTCCTCTCACCTCTCTTCTCACCATCCAGGCAAATGAGGAGCTTTTGTCAGCTGTCTGCACTGAGTGACTAAATGTAGGCTTGTCCTCTGAGCAAACCACTGACAGAAGCAGGATCCTGCCATCAGAGTTGTGTGATAGTTATACATACATTAATCCTTTTCCAATCGCATCTAATTTTTACATATCCTCCAATACTTTGGGAACGTATTGTGGAGGCTAGGCAACAAAGGCTATGATCTTGCTTCATATCAATTGAGCTAAGGTGCTACGGTGAATTCTGGTTTATCTTAAATTGTTTACTTGCAATTACATCTCCTTACTTTTCTAGCTCAGTCTGAACTCCAACCTAAGTTGGGCTGAGCCAGGTCAGTATTTGTAAGGAAATCTCTACAAAAAGAGGGCACTAAGTAAAGTTTGCAAAGTAGACTACACACAGAAGGGTTCCCTAACACTTAGCATTGTAGAGAGAAAAGAACTGAGATGGTTGGGCAGCACTTCCTTATAAAGATTCACGCACTGATATCTGATGTCAGCAGAGGCTGTTTGAGGAGCCACAATGGACATGGCTTTGATAGAGATTCCTGGAGTGTGAAGTTACCAACAGGCTTATATGGTGAGGCCCATTATTGTGTACAGAAAATGAGTTTCATTCCATTAACAGGGCCACTATCTATTTTTGTAGATTTATACATCCAATGACCTGAGACACCTTGTGTTAAAAGTTCTCCACATGAAATCCTGACACATACAAAGTTACAAATTTTCATGCCATTCCGACAAAAAGGTCTTACCCATAACGTTACTGATATTTGCCCTGTATAAGTCAAAATTGATTGAAAATGATTGAAATGTATGAAGAAATATGTTAAAGGAAAGTCTTAATAGACTGAGGACTTTAAACGTCATATGCAAGAAAAATATTACAAACAGCCAATTTGGGTGACATTTATTTTTTGTATTTATGTACAAGAAAAAGTGCTAAAAACCTAAAAATTTTTGTGCTGCTGGAGTGTTTTATGCATCAATATTTTCTTCTATTATTCTAATAGGCAACGTGCAATAAATTAACATGTCTATTTTTTGGTAGAAAGTATAGGTTAAGGTATTCCAGCATAGTCTGTCAAGCTCTCACATGGAACTTGCAAGGAAAATGCAAAAGAGGAAGACCTCGGACAACATGGAGAAGATCTACTGAGATTGAAGGACAACAACTGAGGTACTCCTGGAGTCAGCTAGAAGTTTTGTCTCAAAACAGAGTGTAGTGGAAGAGACTTGTAGATGACTTATGTTCCACTTGGACTACAAGAGTTTAAGAAGAAGAATTACCCCATGCTCATGATTTGCTTTTCTTGACAACTTTCACTATAGACTGGACTATATTAATATTTACCCTCAAGAGAAATGTTTGTACATCAGCCTAACTACATGAAATGATAACTCTAATACATCTGATACATTTTTCTATGGAAATACTAAAATATTATTATTTTCCTTGAGCATATTTTCCTCAGTTACAGCACTGAAAAAAATACTACACAAAACTTATTAGAATTCTCTTGTATATGGCATTTATTTCTCAAATATTCATAAGTGACAGCTTATTTGGATTTATATGAATTGACATAGTAATTGATATAAATCAAAATGTTATTTTCTTATTCAAATCCTGTGATCACTTTGGCTGTTGGCACTGTTGTGCTTATTTTCTGAATAAAACAGATTTTTTTTTATTTTCTAGGATGAAAATATTTATCAAAGTCACTCTTCTCAGACTTATTGTGTGTGACAGGTTCAGCAACTTTTTTGACGGTGTTCTTGCACTTCTGACACTTATACAAGTCTGGGCATGAAAACCAACTGGCAAGATAGGAAAGCCTCCCAGTTAGACATTTTATATGCCTGCAGACACAACACAGTGCCTAAAAAATTAATCAATAATGTGGTTTTAATTTCCAATACCGATGAAGAAACACAAATTGACCACAGTTGTGACTTAAGACTGATGCTTATGTATGCTGTATCTGTACCTTGCTATGAATTATTACATCTTGGTAGTCCCTGAAAGCATGTTGCACATGAAGAAATATACCTGTCATCAACAATTGTGACTGTGTCAGAACCCTTCTGCATAGTCAGGCAGTGACACTCCTCTACATGGCTATGTAGAGAGTGATGTCCTTGCCTACAACATGCATATCTGCATCCCTCTTCATGATATACAAAAATGTCTTAAATGCTTCTTCATAGTTGCCATCAGAAAGAAAGTTCTTTTACATGCTGGGGGTTTTCTGGTCCTTTATGTAGATGTGTCTAGTTTAGCTGCTTGGCATGACTGTTGGACATTTTTACTGCTCAGATTAGGGTATGGATCTGTGACAAAGTCTAAACAAGTACACTTGTATTTACTTTCTTGAAATCTTGATCATATACACTAAAACAGTGTCTGCAAGCTCACCAAATGTTGAAGGAATAACATGTAGTGCTTGGATGACAGCTATTCCGTCAAAGATTACTGAACATTCTCTTGAACATGGTCAATAAGGCTGTCTCCAACTTTGACAGAAGAAGACTGAGCAGAGAATAAGCAGAGCTGATTTGCTGTTTTTGGCAGAGTACTGCCAGCGCTAGTAACAATGTATGAAATAGCTCTGGTTTCTGTGAGATCAATTTTCATACTTTGATCTAATACAAGAAGCCTTACAAAGTGTTTCTTGCCATTATGAAGAATCATGTTCTTGACAGAAACTTTTGCTTTTGACTTGATACGGAGGATATGTCTACACACACGGCTAAAGTTGAATTAAGCTATACAACTTGAGCTATGTCAATTGCGTAGTTTAAGTTGAAATAGCTTAATTCAGCTTTTGGTGCTGTCTACACAGCAGGAAGTTGTTCCTTCAACTTCCCTTACTACTTGTAAAATGAGGGTTACATGAGTCGGAGTAAGAAGTCCTCCAGCTCAACATTATTTTGAAATAAAGTAGTGTAGACGCCGACTATGTTATTCTGAAATAACGCTGCTGCGTAGACGTACCCTGAATACAGGCAGTCCCCGGGTTACGTACAAGATAGGAACTGTAGGTTTGTTCTTAAGTTGAATCTGTATGTAAGTCGGAACTGGCGTCCAGATTCAGCCGCTGCTGAAACTGATCAGTTTCAACAGCATTATTTTGAAATAAAGTAGTGTAGACGCCGACTATGTTATTCTGAAATAACGCTGCTGCGTAGACGTACCCTGAATACAGGCAGTCCCCGGGTTACGTACAAGATAGGAACTGTAGGTTTGTTCTTAAGTTGAATCTGTATGTAAGTCGGAACTGGCGTCCAGATTCAGCCGCTGCTGAAACTGATCAGTTTCAACAGCAGCACTTCATGAAATTTAATCTGTCTTGGGTGTTACAATAACCATTAATATATCAACTGACAAAATTGGAGGGGTAACAAACTCCAAGGGCTGCTGCTGGGACCACTGTGGTCCCTGGTGTAATTTATATAGCCTTGGAATATACCTAAATCACATAAGTCTGTTCCCAGCTTCATATGAGTGGCTGTTCAGTCCTGAATCTCTACACTTCTGTGTGCTGCAGCCATGTCTTCTCAGCACACCCTTCCCGCTCCCAGCCCTGTTGCCCTCAATAGCTCCCCCTCCCCCCATGTGGGGCTTGCAACCCAGCTCTCATGGGGCAGCATAACTTGCCTTGGTCAAAGGGGAAATTCTACCCCTACTTTGATCCGGGGGCACCACTGGCCATTTTACATCACCTCAGCAGCATACAAAGGGGTCACAGAAGAATGTATCTCTCCCATAGTGCTGCAGGAAGTCATGTTTGTGATTCAACAACTGGCTCTCTCTCCTGGGAGTCAGTATAGGCAGTCCCCGAGTTACGCGGATCCGACTTACGTCAGATCCGCAGTTACGAACGGGGCCCTCTCCCTGGTCTCCAGCAGACCAGGGAGAGGAAGCAAAGCGGCGGAACACGCGGGCAGCGGACAGC